ACAGTCCAGTTAACCAGCCTGGCATGGGCATGAATGCAGGGATGAATGCTGGCATGAATCCTGGGATGCTGACAGCAGGCAACGGGCAGGGGATGATGCAGGGGCAAGTCATGAACGGTTCCATTGGCGCAGGCAGAGGGAGACCCAACATGCCCTACCCCAACCCAGGCATGGGCACTGCTGGCAACTTGCTGGCTGAAACACTGCAGCAAGGCTCTCCACAGATGGGAGGACAGGCTGGACTCAGAGGGCCACAGCCTGGAGCCATGAACAAGGTAAGACACGCTAAACTTGACTTTACCTCCCTTTCTTGTTTGACTTTATGTGAAACTTAATCCTCTGTAGCATGGGGTCTATAGAACTGGATTGTTTTTCTTTTAAGAATCCTGGATCATGTGGTAAATAGTTTATGCTGCTAAAGTAGAATTCGTGGCAGTTGTGGGAGGCAAAAACCAAATCTGGCACAAGAAACACGACTATTGCTAGAGTAAAAATAACTTGATTTTTACTTTATTCTGTTTTATTCTTTGTCCACAAATATATCTTCCCATCTAATGTGATGCTGTGGTATTGTGAGTGTGATGGGGATCCATCAGGGCCTTTTAGATGTTGTGACCTTCTGTCTCTGAGGCTTAATTTGTAGATTTTTTGTGTTTGTCTGAGATCAGATGAGTGTTCATGCTGTGGCAGGTGCCAAAGAGGCACATACAGTTTTGAACAGACTGATGACTCCCTGTGTGCTGATATTGTTAAGAGTGTTTGAGCTACTGATGAGGAATGAATGCTTCTGTAAACACCTGAAGACAAATGTTAGATTCTTAAAACACTGTTAATCCTGCCCAGTTCTTTACAAACACAACTACCTTTTGCAGAGTAGGAGTATTTCTTCTCTGGGTTTTAGTGTTTTCACCACAAGCCTAGAAAATACTTAAATGCTTCAGTTCACTTTAGGCAGGTATCCTGTGGGTTTGGGCTGATGAGAGGGAAGTTTTTCCAAGGTGCTTTGCAGTACATGAATAGATCTATCTGAATGCCTGAAGTTGGTCTGCTTGGAGGGCTTGGAATGATAAATATAATCTATAAATAGATTGGAAACATAAATGAAAATTATGCTGTGTATTAATGTCTTTGCTGTGCTTTAGTGGATTAAGTAAAATTATGTTAGTGTCTCATGAATGTTTATAGTTATGAAGTTCTTTATTTATTAAGATACTAATTATGAAGTTCTGTTTGCTAGCAGATATTTCTCTCTATCTCTATGTATGTCTAGTAATTAGTTGATTTTGTGGTCTGGTCATTTCAGATATTTTTTTGCCCTGTACAGAAGTTGTTGCAAGGCCTTGTTGCTACAGTAGCAAATTTGTATGTAGTTTACAATGGAAAGATATGCAACTAATTAGAAGAATTCTTTTCCTGGAATGGTAGAATGTGTCATACTTTATAGCTGTAAAAAAACCTACTTTGATATTTAGGCATATTCAGAGGTCAGTGATTGACATTTGGTATATGGGTGAAATGCAACTTCTTAATCTTTCTTTAGCAGAGCTGAAGTAAGCTTATACTTTATTATAAACTCGTTTAGGAGAAAAAAGGACAGAAAACCAAGGTTTTGGCTGATGTAGTCCAAAATTAAATTGTCTTCCTTGCTTAAATTCTGAAATGTGCTGTACATCTGAAGTAAGAACATTTTGTGCTTTTGGGATTATTCAGACCAAATGCACAATGAATTCTGGGGTTTAATTCATAGTCCCAGATGGGTTAAAAGTAGTTAAGAGTTCTTTAAATGCTGATAAAATCGTGAGACTTTAGTGTTAAGTATGGTGGATCTAGCCCTTGTAGAGGAGTTGAAACTGCTGGATGAAAAAGAACAGTCTGAAATGGAGGCTGAAATTCCAGAATGTCTTAAATTGGTTTGTCTGTTGGCAGGAAGCCTGTGTTTCACTTCATGCACTGGAGTTAGCAAAATCTGACAACACTCATGTCTGACCATTCTATCTCTCCACCCATCTGCTTTTGTTTTTTCCCCACCTACAAATCTTCAAAAAGTAGATGAAAACAGAGGACCCCAACTGGTTGTTTTTGAAAGCCAGTTTTTCAGTTGGTAAACTTACTCCTGTGTTGCTGTTAATGTGGGAGTTGGTGTAATGACTTCTGTAGATTTCCTTCCTTGCTGTAAAAAATGTGCATTCTCCAGGAGCTGGCCTTCGTTAGGAGGAAGAAAATGGACCAGGCACTTAAGTTGTGTTTGACTTCATCATATTGGCTTGCCAAAATCAAGCCCCTTGTGGGATGGGGGGGTGCCTCTGAGCTCTCAGTGTGTTGTCTGCAGTGGTTTGTAAGGAGGAGTAGCTTACATTCCCTGTGATATTGACTGATCAGGAGGGAAGATGATGTGCTCTTCTAACAGTGAAGATCATCTCCAAGTGACTAGTCAATTTGGAAGACAAAATTATGTTACTGCTTTGTTCTGTTATCCTGTAGAGTAACTGAAAGTCACCCTCTCCTCCCTAAGCACTGGCTAGCAATAAAGTAAAGCACTTGGTTTATACATTAGCCACGTACTTTCCAGTTTATCTAGTTGTGTGTGGTACTTTTTAGGACTTGTAATCCCAAATATCAATGTAAATGATTAATTTGGGGTCATCTGGTATACGTAAACTTGTCCTAATTGGCTGCTTACATCCTGTGGTCTAATGCTGTAGTTTTCTGTGTGCTGTAAGTGGTCCCTGACATACACAGGAGCAGTTCTGTCTGCATGGCATCTCTGTGGCAGCTGCATGGCAGGCTGTGCTGAGGAGCTAACCCAGGCTTCAGACTCCCCATGGGATCTAGGGTAAACTGGAGTATTGCTCTGTCACCCAGCAGAGAAAGGGGGATCAGGAAAAGGAGAGACCCGTGGGCTGGAAGGAAACCAGATTTAATGAAACAGCCAAAATTAACGCCAATATATAGCAAAGTTCAAGTCAGCCCAGCAGATATATGGTGGTCACAACAAATGGGAAAGCAGTTCAGAGGAGCCTGAGGAGGAGGCCTTGTGTCCTCAGCAAACTTCCCCCTTTATACTGAGTGGGATATTTAAGGCATGGGATACACCTATGAGCCTGCTCTAACTGACCAGAATGCTGATGGGCTACAGACTGTGCCTGGCCTGTGCTTCTGTCCCAGAGAAACCAGGACTGTCATTTAAGAAAAAAGATTTGAATTTAACTTGTTTTTCTGGTCCATTTTATGCTCATCAGTTGGAAAGCTAATGCTGATATTAGAGAGGGGACATATTAAAGGAGCTGATACTGCCAGGCAGAGGAGGGTGTGGACCCTGCTTTGGTGACAGTACCAGCTTAAAAATGCCTGTGGAAGTCTAGCCTTAGAGGAACTTGTAGAAGTTTGGAGGGGAAAGGAATCGTAACAAATTTTGCTTTCTTGAATAGCTCTTTGTTTTCTATCTCTTTGGTTGTCTGCAAGTCAGGAGAATGACAGATGTGCCCATTACTCTTAAAATAGAGTTTTGGAAATTGTTTGTAATGCTTTGATTCTTTCAGTGTTGTAGCATTTCTCCAGCTTTTTGTTTCACTGGATAGTTTTACAGCTTTGATTAATTTAAAAGTAAACAGATAACAAATTCAAGCTCTATAATAAGAACAAATTAATGTTTCCAGGCTTGAACCATTCTTCTTTTGGAATTGTATCTAGTGAAAACCTTCAGTTTGTTGTTCCACTGGGTTCTGTGGACAGTGGGCAGTGACAATCTGAGTGTCCAGTCTCTGTCAGGGGAGGAGGGTTATTTTTCATGTGAGTTGGTCTGTACCTTTCTGTGACAGCAGTTCCCTGTCAGGATGGGACTGAGTTCACCTGGCCCTCAGGTCATTTCAATTTCATCTCTCACTGTTTCAAGAAAAGTTCTGTAACTCAAGTAATGAAATGGATGTAAAGGTAGTTCAGGTTAGTGAGGGCATTACTGTTATCTCTGCTTTGCATTTCATTCACATGGGAAGTGACTTGAAAAGTTTAGAGTTCCAGTAGTAATTCTTGGTAATTTGGGTTGCTGTTTGAGTATATACAGGGTTCTCCTCTGTTACAGTGGATACACTTGATTTTATCAGTTGAACCTCTGTTAAGAAGAATCAATGGCAGTATTTTACAAAGACGAATGTAGTTCTTCAGGATCTCTAACTTCCTTTAATCATAGAACTGCTTTGGTTGGAAGAGACCTTCAAGATTATGAAGTCCAACGATTAACCCAGCACTGCCAAGTCACCACTAAACCCTGTCCCTCAGGACCACATGGTGCCTTTCAGTTCCTCCAGGGGTGGGAACTCCACCACTGCCCTGGGCAGCCTGGCCCAGGGCTTGACAACCCTTTCAGGGAATACCTATTTCCTAATATCCAACCTAAAACCCTCCAGTGCCACTTGGGGCTATCTCCTCTTGTCCTATCATCTAGGTTTGAGAAGACCTTTAAGACCATCAAATCCAACCATTAACCTACGCATTCCAGTCTTAACTGCATCATTCTGTTGAGCAAGATGCATGAAAAGTCAATTTAAATGCAGGGCTGGATCACTGCCTGAATTTGTGAAGCATATTTATTGTGCTAAGAAGATTATTTCAGAAAGTACATATTGTTTAATTAGGAAGTAATTGATGCCCTTTTCTAAAAGAAAAACCAGAGCCATGTACACATACAACCCAACACCCACCTGGAGAACACTGAACATGGTAGAATTAGCAATGTAAATGGGAACAACTCTTTCAAGGACTATGGTATGAAGTGTTTTGTGACCTTCACTCTCGTGGTCATTGCCAAAAAAGTGGCTGGAGCTTAAGTCAAACAGTATAATATCAGAGTAATCAAGTTGTGTTCAAAGCTGTGGAGAGTTTGGGGATGGTGTCATCCTCAAGTTGTAAAAATAGGTTTGTTCCTGAGCATATTCAGTGCCACATTTTGGATAGAAAGTCAGTGTTCTTGATTGCCTTATTTGCAATAGCCATTTGATTCAACAGGTAAATTATTCCATACTGTTTAGACTCTGGTACCAAGTGTACCATAGGATCAAATAATATTCCATTGGAAGTCTAGTTGCGTGTCCTGGTCCTTGTGGTTTTCTTCTTTGGTGAACCAGGGTGAAAAAACAGATAATTTCCTATTTTATCCAAGCATAAGGGAGAAATGGGGAAGTAAAGATTGAATCTTAAGCTTCTGGGGTGGATAGGGAGGAGTGTCCTGAACAGCTGGCACTGAAATAACATTAGTTATCTCGCAGTGGGTATCTTAAAATATAATGCAGTCAAGTGCAAAGATTAATGTTTGATAATAGTCCTTGGAAAGAATGCAGCAGATACCACTGGCAAAACTTTGCTGTTGTTTACATCTGGATTCAGTGATGCTCAGCACTAGAAAACTGCATACAAGAGATCAGTTATAAATTCTTGGTTTTAACGAGCCAGCTGGAATTAATAAAACTAGCTTTCCAGTTTCAGGAAATGTTAATTAACTTCCACTTGTGAACATGCTGATATGAAGGACACTCCTATGGTCCTAAACCATTGCAGACACTGCAGTTAACCTGATAGAGACTCATGGCTGATGCTGCAGTTGTTGGATTAGTACTATTGGAAAAATATTAAAACTTAACTCCATCTTTTTACTTTTTGCTTACATTTATTTTGCAAAACTTTGAGAAATTTCCTCCACTTTTGTTGTGGCTTACACTTGTGAATTAGGATGTTTCCTGGACTGGTGTTGTCCGTGGCCCTCACATGGTGAGAGAGGCACATCATCTACCATTCTGGTACCATAGCCCCTGCTTCCACTGGAGGCAGAAACACCAAGTTTTTTTCCACTGTGTATGTAGAAGCTATAACCCTCTAAGATTCCTTTTGCTGTCTATTAGCCACACATCATCATCTTGCTGTTTTCCTTGTTTCCTCCTCTTCTTTACTGTGATGTGGATTTCTGTCTGCCCTTCATGTGTGTGAGTCCTTGCATATGTGATGAAAGTTAAGTTGAGGCTGTGAGGTGAGGAGAGGAAGAAAAACAACAGATGGGATGGATAAGAAGAGAATTGGGAAGAGCACTGCAAGGAGATGGTGGCCAGGAAGGAGTGAGTAGAGGTTGCACTCGCTGACTTTTAGCTATGATTCAGCCATGTATGTTTTTGCATGGTATTGCAGATGAGGCCTTGTATTTGGCTCATGCAGTGGCACTAACACCACATTGATTTGGCTGGTTTTTCTGCATTTGATTCTTTATCTACCCTTCACTCCCAATAGATCATTAATATGATGATGAACTGTGTGTCAGTCTTCCTGGTTGTTTCCTACTGATAAAAATTACACAGATTTTTGTCTTCCTTCTCTAGTCAGGAGGTCATCCATTTCTTCCTGCTTGTTTTGTTTTATCCATGTTTCTCAACTTATCACAGCAAATGGTGTGAGCATGCTCCTGCTGCTTGTGCCAGGGTCACAAGGCCACCTTCTGTGAGGTGAAGAACCTCCCAAATGACCCTTCCCTTGACTCAGTCTAGAATTGCATGCAGGTTGTTGGAGTCAGATGAGTGGGTTTCAGAGTCAGTTTGGCACACTTGCCTTCTAACCTGGCCTGTGGGCTGAGATGGGGAGCTGAATTACTCCTCTTGGGAGCAGCTGCACTGAGCTGGGCATGTTCTGTAGATACAGAGGTTGATTGGCATGGTCAAACTTCATCCCTGAGTTTCATTAGAAAGCTGCTTTTTTGGGTAATGGAGTGAAAGTGCCTTTTTAAGTCTAGACCTGAGCTTTTCCCCCTGCAGTTAGGACAGAGCTGGCTCATCAGGCCACAGTTATTTTCAATCCTTTGGTGTCTACTTGTGAGCTTTGGGAGCTGTGATTATTAATGAACTTGGAAACTTTGCTTGGAAATTTCTGGTTTGGGGGATGTACTTGCTTTTGAAACCCTTTCTGCAGCCACAGGGATCAGGCTGTCTTACAGGAAAACATATCTTGCTTTCTTAAGGAAATAATTCCCACTATCAGTCCTTTGTGAAGTCTTGAAAAACCTACTGGTCAATTTGAGGCAACAGTGATGATGGGGAAGTGCCCTGAAAGCACGTTTGCTGACTCCTTACATTTTCCTTCTCCCCTTCCCTCCTGCTCAACTTGCACATAAGATCTTACTAGTCTTCTGAGGGAGAAGCAGGAAGGGTTTGAGTCCTACCTGCTCTGATTTTGGCAGCAGCAGCCTCCTCAGTCACCACGTGTGTTTTCATGGCAGTGGTGGTGGCAAGGGAGACAGAAGAGAGGAAGCTCTTTTAGCTCTGCCTGATCACTGCATAGTTTCTCTTCTTTTTGTTGCTTTCTAATGAATTACTGCTGTGTGATTATGGTTATTGCTTGTGTGGAGGAGGAGGGCTGTCCTCGGGGGAATTCACTTGTATGTATCAGATGTCTAAAGTGGCAGGCTCTTTAGTGAATTTTGTGTTCTTTTCCCTGTAGTTTGGGTTTGATCCTGCTTTATTTTGTAAATACAAACTGAAGGCTCTTACAATGGATTGGCAGATGTTAGAACCTGAGAAAGGGAAGTGTTTGACTAATGACAGGTAATTTCCAGGCATGCAGGCTGGAGAAGCTTGGCAAGAAACAGAAACAAGGTTTTGACAGTAAATGTAGGAGTGGTTGGAGACAAACCTACTGTAGGAGGTCATATGCACTTTTCTGGATGCAGGAAAATGCCCAGACTTGAACCCAAAAGCATCAAGGAAACTGAAGGTTGTCTAGTCAAATGCTAGTGTGAGTTGAAACAATACAGCTCTCGAAAGGATGAGTGGTTCAATAGGTTTGTGGAGTTCCTTCCTACCATCTGCTTGGACCTCTGCTGCTGCTGCTCCCTGTGAACGAGTGACTGAGCCTGTGTGACCGTGTGGGCTGTAACCTCTGCCTCTAGTGTGTTCCTAAACTGGAAATGGTTGTGTGCTGAGAATGCAGACATGCCTTGGTACAGCGGTCTGGAGAGGACCTGGGGAGTGAGTGCCAGCAGCTGGGTAGGAGGTTTCGGGGATAAACCCTGCTGACAGGATTGAAGGTGGTGCTTGTCTCCATTTGAAGCTTGCGCAGACGCAGGGAGCAGAAAAATTCTTCCAGACTTTTGAGTGATGTAGTCCATGGTACAAATTTGTGATTAGGAAAGTTGAACTGGAAAATCTTTTACAAAGAAATAAGTAATCAGGGCAGTTCTGACCAGGCTGACCTCAGAGGTTGGTGAGTTGATTTCACTGTGTTTATAGGAACTGTCTGATTGAAGAGTTAATGTTGTGGGATGGGTAAATACATGCACATGAAGGAGCAGGGGGAGTGTGTAGATCAGTATTTCATTGCAGCTGGTTCATGGCTGTGATCAGTCTTGCTTCTCTGAAATGTTCATTTGCCTTTTAATTTGTGAACTTAAGCTATTTTACCTGAACATCTTATTTTAATTCCTAGATGGGAATGATGAGCAATCCCAGCCCCTATGGCCAGCCATATAGTCAGAATACTGGGCAGCAGATTGGAGCCAGTGGACTTGGGCCTCAGATGCAGAATAAAGCTGGGCTGCAGAATAGCTTACCACAATTTCCAATGGACAAGAAGCCAGTTCCTGGGGCAGGAATATGAAAGGTGTCTCCAGAAGATGATGTTGTAGACCAAAGTGGAACACTATGCTCTCTCGTTGCCATGCTACAATTTTCTGCAGCTGTGGTACCCACTGTGAATGTGTGTTCTGAATCTACACATAAAACACTTGTTTCAACTCCTAAAAGGGCTGATAGGAAGGAGAGGGCTGAGCTGTGCTTTCTCTGTTGATAACCTGCACCTCTATTCTTCACCATTCAGACCCCCTTAACAGAGAACATTAAATGGAGCTCCTTAACTGAAGTGAGCTTTGCTCCTGCTTGGACACCTCTGCCCTCCTCTCACATCCCTTCTCTTGTGGTTGGTATATTGGGCTCCTTCTCAGCAGAGAGGAGCTTTGTCTTGAGGGTTGTTTTCTTGCTAATAGTACACTGATGCTTTGGGGAGAGAGAAATATTTTAGAATTCCCCATTATGTGTTTGTTCCTGTTCTGAGTTACATGAACACAGAACAGTCCTGATGCTGGAGGTACCCTGACAGTTGCTGTAGTAGCTCTTGCCTCCTCCTTCCCCCTCCAGACTGTTACTGCAGCAGGACTTCAGGAAGGAGAAGCAAGGGTGGTGGGAAGAGTGGATGGCCCAAGCTTACAAATGATAGGCCTTAATGTTAGGTTCCTTAGCTTGAGCTTAACACTGGTGGCTGAATGCTTCTGCCTCATTATTTTAGAAGCTTAAATTGATTAGGGCTGTGACATGCAACATATCCTGCTTCTCCCCCACACCCTTTCATATTATTTTTTAATTTGAGAAACATATCCACGTTTCTGGATACAGCTTGTGTTTCTCCCTGCTTCAAATGCCACCCCCTAGAAGAGTCAGTCTCTTGATCTTAGTAACTGTTACTGAAAAACCATTTCCAGGTAACTTTTGTACCTTTGAATTCAAAAGAGCTCTGTCCTGGCAATTTTCTTTAGTGCTAAATTGAGCCTGAAACATTGGAAGTCTAGAAACCCAGTTGGTTGTAAGAACCAATAAAGAAGCAGCCAAAACTTGCTGTTCAGAACCCTAGTTGTCAAGCATGTGCATCTAAAATTGTTTAGACTCTGAAGAGTCTGTTAGAAACTTGAAGGCTGTTAAACTGAAGTGAAACAGCCAACACAGAGTCCTTGAGCTTCTCTTCTTTGCTGTTTTCTTCTCAAATGTCCCCTGGAAGAAATATGAAGAAGTCTGAAGAAATGAGCAAGAAGTATAGAAGTACTAGATGTTGTCATACTTGATGTTAGTTCTGTAGCATGTATTATCCTGAAGTTGTGCTTCATATCGAGCAGAGACTGGGAGATACTTGGTTTGAATGCCTGGATGCAAGTTTGCTGATGGAATAGGTTCCCAGAACTTCCCCTTCATTCTTATTTTCTAGGAACAGTCAAACTGAGACACCTTATACTGAAATATAGAGGAAAACTATTCACTTTTTTCCATTACTGCAAGAACTGTGGATGCAACTTTCTAGCCTCCAACATGAGGAGGTGTAAGTGCTATTAGTGTTTTCTGGTTGGTCTAGCACCAGAGATTAACCTGTGAGCATGTGCAGAGTTCTGCTGCACTTTGATAAAGCAAGAGCAAGGACTAGGAGAGTGATATGGGGAAGAAGTTGTGGCTGGCAAGAGAATTATTGCCAGGAGTGTAGCTAAGGGGTGTCTGTGACTCGAGTCACCCAGAACTACAGATAGGTGGGCCCTTCTTTCTCACAGAATGCAGTGGCTGTTTCTCTTCTTTGAATGTTATTTACCTGCTGAATGGATTATTCTCAAAACAGATTAATTTCTGGAAATTTCTTTCTACCTTCAGGGCCAGCAGCAGACTCCCCAAGTTCAGCAAGCTGGGATGGGACCAGCAGCTTCTCAAGGCATGGGGTCTGGAGCGCCGACGGCGGACCCGGAGAAGCGCAAACTGATCCAGCAGCAGCTGGTGCTGCTCCTGCACGCCCACAAGTGCCAGCGGCGGGAGCAGGCCAACGGGGAGGTGAGGCAGTGCAACCTCCCCCACTGCCGCACCATGAAGAACGTCCTCAACCACATGACACACTGCCAGGCTGGCAAATCCTGCCAGGGTGAGTGGCTCTGGGGGGAATGAAGGTCTTGGGATTGACTTTGTAACTCACGGTGAGATCTTTTGGATGTTGCCTTCTGAGAAGGGCAGGCACAAAAGGAGGAATCTGCAAGGAGGAGTCTGCCTGTCTTCTGCAAACGGGAGAGAGAAAGTTCTAGGAATAGCTAGCCAGGAATTAAGCTGCTACTGGCACTGGCAAACTCTTAGTCTATCCCAGCAGCCAAGGAGAGTGTATGCTACTGTTTTGGTAGCTAAGCTCATCTGGGTTGTGCTGATTGCTGGCATCTCAATTGCCTGGTACAGTTTGCCTGCTGTCTGATGTATGTGATGTTATCCTTTGAGTTGGGGAGGTGTTGGCTTGGGTGTGTAACACAGAGCTTTCAGGTGAGCTCTAGCTGAGCCCATAGTACTTGGCAAAATCTACCTAGATTTTCTAAGGCTAGTTAAGTGCTGAACTATTTCAAGTAATACTTTACTGACCCATGTTGCCCTGAGAGAAATAGCTGCTCCCAACTCAGTTTGTGTTGTCCACGTGGAGACACTGGCAGTAGTTTGTAAAAGCTTTTCATTCCTCTTCCTTTCAGTGGCACATTGTGCATCTTCCCGACAAATCATCTCGCACTGGAAGAATTGTACCAGACATGACTGTCCTGTGTGTTTGCCTCTGAAAAATGCTGGGGACAAAAGAAATCAACAATGTAAGGCTACTGGGGACTTCTGTGGGTTGGATAAGCCATAAAATGCATCTTGGGAGTTAAACTTTCTTGCACTCGGGATATAGTGATGGTGCTCCTGAACCTGGAAACTTGGAAATTTCTTGCTTTAAGGGGGAAAAAAAAAAAAGGCATTTCAAATGGTGCTAAAGAGCTGTGTGTACCCTTCTGCCTTTAGCCTCTGTGACATGGTCAGCCTCTGTTTTCTGTTTGAAGCAAACAGATGTGTCCTAAACACCTGGAGTGGGATTTCCTCTCAGCAACTCAAAGGGAAGACAGCACATTGTCAGCATGGCCGCTTGGGTCAGAACTTGTCTCCATGTTTCATGACAGGTTTTCCAGAGGTGGCATCCTCACTGCCCGTTCCTAGAAGATGTTCAGAACAGCCAGTGTACTCTTTCTGTTCTTTCCCTGTTCTCCTGGGCCTCTGTGGTGACCCCCTGCTGTACTTCCTAACTTGGTTGGTCTCTTCCAGCGCTGCTGGGCGGAGCTGCGGTGGGACTGGCAAATACTGGCTCTGTGGGCGTGGGGCAGCAGACAACACCCAGTCTAAACACTACCAGTCAGATAGACCCCAGCTCCATCGAGAGAGCCTACGCAGCCCTCGGACTGACCTACCAAGGGAACCAGATGCAGACACAGCCCCAGGCTCAAGTGAAGAATCAGCAACAAGGACAGTCACCCCAGGGTCTGCGCCCCATGAATCCTATGAGTAAGTTTATCTGTTAGTGTTAATATACAGACTACAGGTGACTTTCTTGGGCTATAGCTAAGGCAGATTTTCTTCACCTACTAGCTTAATGCTGCTAGATAATTTCCAAAAGGTACAGCTTTGCAGTTTTTTAGACTTGAGACAACAAGCTATTTGGTGGAACAGGAACATCAGAGGATCCAGATGCCTTCTCTTGGAAAAATTTTCTCTGGGATTTTTTTTTTTTCTTGAGAACCATTTTTCCGAAGCATTTTATTTAATGTTGTTTTGTAGCTTTATAATTGTACTGTAATGCAATTTTCAGGCTTTTTTTGGAGTATTTAATTGGAAATGCCTGTATTGAAGTGTATTTCCTTGCTACTCTGACTGCAGCGTTTTACAGCTGTATCAGCTATGTAGTGTTTGTTTTAAAAATGAAAAGTAGTAAATAACAGACTTTCTCAATCCTGTCACGTGGATTTATGTAACTGTAAGTTATCTGGGTGGCTTATTGCAAAATCACAGGAGACTACATAAGAATTTTCATTTGAAGTGCAGTTAATTCTAATCTGGCTATCAGTGGTGTCAAGTGTTAAGTAACCTTTAACCATCAAACCTAATTTTGATAGTTTTGGATTACATCACAGGAATTTTTCCTCACCCCCAGCTTTTTGCTTGAGTTGCTTAAGCAGAGATGGGGTTTTTGAATGGAAAAGAGGAAAGATGAGCTGGTAGAGATTTATCACAGGCTTGTATGGGATTGCAGTGATCCTGCCTATATGCCTCATGATGTGCTTGTGTATGGAATGAGTAGTGTGTATGCACAGGAGTTCCATGGGGAAAGGACCTGAGAGATTGCAGAGGAAAGGAGCAGTTGGTTGCAGGCTGCAGTTTGTGCTGTTTCTGCACCAAAAGACATCTTACTCCTGAGCTACTCGGGGAAAGGCTCTTGGGTAGATTCATTAATGAGACCCCTGGTCCCCACAGGTTGCATATGACTTGTATGCTGTTAATTTTGCCTTCCAATGTCTGAAGTCTCCTTTCAAAAAGGAGGGGAAGAGATAGGGTCCCGAGAGCTTAGTCTTAAAACAATTAGATAAAAACATTATTTTCTGCTGTGCATTACAAATAGGTGAATTTATAGTTCTGAAATGTTACAGTGAGGGCCTTGAAAGCTGGAAAGAAATGTCACCCATTTTTCTGAAGTGAAATGGTTCTCTGGGTTTTCTCTATTTTTAGACAGTTTGGCCTGTGTGTTCTTACTGGACACTTCTTGTAGCACTGATGAGGAAATGCAATGAGATGGGGTGGAAGAGCTCTTAGAGGACAAAGAACTGAAGCTTCATGTAGAAAGGACAAGCATGGGGAGTGTGGACTTTGACTTTTGTTATTAGGAGTAGGTGGCTAAGGGGGGAAGTTAAACAGGTGAGATAGGAATGATCAGATCATGGGCTAGTTTAGGAGAAACAGCAGGATATGGTGAGGACTGTGGTGTGAGAAGATGCAGTCCTAAGGAGATCAAACAAGTGATGGGTTTGGGCAGTTGAAAAGGAGCAATTAAGGCAAAGGTTGACAGTTGCCTTTTATACCAGCTTGGTCTCAGGTGGCAGTGTGTGAATTAGACTATTTTTTATGGTGGTTGAGATTTGATGTGATTCAGAGAAGCAGACTTCTGGTATCTTAAAACTTACTAGAGGTTTTTCCTGCAAAGGTTTGTCAGGTTTTTCTTCTTAGTACAAACACTGGAGTTAGTTGTAGGATCCTTAAGTATGAACTGGGTGAGAGGGAACCATGTCAAATGTAGGTGGTAGCTGATGGTGTAGGTTTTTGAAGCCTTTATGAATATTTCCTAAGCCCCTGAATGATTGAAAAATACCCCAGCCACTTCTAAACAAAAACCCAGAGAAGTGGCTGGTGACACTGAATCTTTAGGGAGTCACAGAAGAGGACTCTGGTACGTAATGTTTGCAGCAGATGGAAATTGCTTGTTTGTTGAGAGGTTCTGGAAGGTGTGCAGAGGAGTCGTGTGGTGTGATGCTTCACTTGGAAGTCACCAGTGTTGTGCCTCAGACTTTTCTAAGTCTGTTAAAGGAAGAGGGTGAAGAGAGCAACATGAAATTGGTAGCAATGGGAAAATCACAGAAGTCAAAGTGCTTGAAAGTCTAGACCCTTGTACTTACTCTTCTGTTTTCTAGGTGCAAATCCAATGGGAGTGAATGGAGGAGTAGGGGTTCAAACCCCTAATCTGCTGCCTGACTCAATGTTACATTCAACCATGAATTCTCAAAAGTAAGTTGAATTATTCTTTGCAGGCCAGTGACTTTGTTTTGATCCAATGGCACTTGCATAAACAGTGGGGTAAATGCCATAGATGGCTATCTCTCCCTTTGGATTTTGTAGCTTTTGTTGCAGTTTCCCAAATCCTTGGGTAGGACAGCATGTCCTCTTTCCTGGCGTTGTTTTGGTGGCTGTGCAGCTATTTCTGCAGAGTTTGTCCATTGATTAGGGAATGGCTGAACTAGCACTTTGTCCTGACATTATTCTGAAAGAGACTATGACTGTAAGATGACTAAGCTCAGACTAGACTTTTGCCCTCAATCCTTGCTCTGTTTTTGAAGCCCCATGATGAGTGAGAGCGCCAACGTTGCCAGTTTGGGAGCCATGCCAACAGCTCAACCATCCAACACCGGGATTCGAAAGCAGTGGCACGAAGACATCACTCAGGATCTCCGAAACCACCTTGTTCATAAACTGTGAGTAGCTGGTATCAAAACAATCTCCCTTTGGGTGAGTTGCTGCCTTTGTGGTGGATGTGTGGGGCAGGAGGAAGCCCAGCTTCCAAAACTGGGAGGTTATGGGGGGGAATTTTGTTAGAGAAGGAAAAGCAGAAGCCCAAAAGATAGAGCTGGGTTGGCAGCTTTGGGGCTGTTGTGTTGGGAGTGTCCCACCCTGGACTGAAGCCACCCACACGGGTCAGTGGCCGTGCCACAGCCTGCTGGAAGCTGTGCTTGCTGCTTTGTGTCCAGAGCTCTGGGGTCAGTGCTGATGGCCCTGTCTGGGGGCATGCTGATGACCTGCCTGTGTGGTTTGCTCTTTCTCCCTCCCCCCAGAGTCCAAGCCATATTTCCTACTCCTGACCCGGCCGCGCTGAAGGACCGGCGCATGGAGAACCTGGTGGCGTACGCCCGCAAGGTGGAAGGGGACATGTATGAATCAGCCAACAGCAGGGTGAGGAGCCATCCTCTGTCTTCCAGGCCTGTGCAGCTGGGCCTTGGGCCCATGGTGGTTGGGGAGGAAGAGGACTGAAATCAGAGATGAGTCCCAGGCTGAGGAAGGTGGTGTTTGGGGGCTGCTGGGTGGGGTCTGGGAACCAGCCAGCTGCAGGCTTCAGCCTGAGTGTGCTGGGATTCAGTGTGGTGCCTGTCAGGGTGTGTGGCTCTCCCAAAGAAGTGCTGGACACAAAGAGAAATGTCCAGCTGTTGGCAGCAGCTCCCTGAGCCATGGCCCTTTTTGCCCTCCCCTCTACCCAGCAGCCCCTGCAAAGGGAGAGCCAGCCCACCCCAAGCCCAAATGTGTGTGCAAAAGGCTGTTCTGCAAGCTTGGGTCCCTGGGACCTGCTGCCTTGACTTAATGTGTGTGTGTGAACTCCTTTTCTGACTTGTATTCTGTGCCAACAGGCAGAGTATTATCACTTGCTAGCTGAGAAGATCTACAAGATACAGAAGGAGCTGGAGGAGAAACGAAGAACCAGGCTGCAGAAGCAAAACATGATCCCAAATGCTCCAGGCATGCCACAGGCTCCCATGAATCAAGGGCCCAACATGGGACAGCCCCAGCCAGGGATGTCTGCAAGTAAGAACATTTGGGTTACTGGTGTGGGGGAATCTTGTACTGTCATTTTGGTAGCCTGGTGACTGTTTTGCCCTTCTCATTTCAACAGGTACCTGGCTTGCTCAGAGTTAACCACCTCTTTCTCCTCTTTGTTCAAAAGTACTTGCAAAATCTTACAGGCTTTGCTTATGTATTGATTCATGACTGTAGATTATCCAAAAGCATTTAGTCTTCTGAACAAAGTGAAATACTGCAAACCTTTGCACTTAGATTTGAGGATGGGGGGAATGAAGAGTAACATTTTAGCATCCTTAACATTATAGAACCTCAGGGTCATTATTTCACCTCTATAACTGAACTAAAGATAACTTCAGTTAGGAAAATATATTTCTCTTATACTAATATTTAGTTGTGTGGCATTTAAAATGATATCACTGTTACTCTTGTTGCTAAACAAAGAGTGTGATGATTGGAATGCTTAGGTACTTATGCCTTTAAAAATTTATATAGTACTTCTGGGCCACGTTTATTTTTTTCAGACCAATGGGCTTTTCAGCATGCAATGAAAACCAGATTTCACTTTTTTCCCCCCCATGCATCTGTCTTTTATTTCACAGTAGTTCTATTACTAGGATTGACTATCCTAATGCTAAACAGATCATTGTTATTTTTTTAATTCTTAAAAATTTAATTTTTTTAAAAAAATCTGTTTTTTCTAGATGGTCCTCTTCCTGACCCAGCCCTGATACGTGCCAACGTGCCAAACCAGATGATGAATCGCATGCAGGCACAGCCAGGTAAATATGTGAGGAAAATTCACTACTGTGATTTATGAAGGAGTGTTGGCATTGGGCAGCTCTTGATGAAGTGTCATAGCCCTTATTTCACTTGCTGCTTTCCCACTTAAGAAAATAGGTATCTATAATATTAAATAACTATATATTATATATAAAAAACCTATATCTCTATCATTTCATGATTGTGTGAATTTAAGAGCTGCATGTTACCTGCTTGCTTTGTTAAATAAAGAATTTGATGCTTTTGGAACTTCCAATCATGCAAACACAGAATAGTGGGGTCAGTCAAACATAGGCCTAGCCAGCCTGAGGACATGTGAGTGGCAGGGAGAAGATGGTGAGAGTTCCTCAGAAGGAAGGGGCAGAACCTTTGTTATGTATTCAAGAAGTGGTGCAGCCAAGATGCAAAGTACTTCAGGAGGTGAAGATAGTTTGGGGTCACAATAAGTGAATTTCTAATATGTAATTAATGAAGCTTTCTGTAGGAAGTTTATCTTCAGCAGTAGATACAATGCTTTTGGTTCTTTACTGTGTACTCCAGTAGCAGCATAGAAAGCTTTGGGTTGTAAGGGACCTCTAAAGATCTATTCCAACCTCCTTGCAGTAAGCAGGGACATCCCCCAACTAGATCAGGTTGCTCAGAGCCGCACCAAGCCTGACCTTGAGTGTCATCCAGGGATGAGGCCTCCACCATGTATCTGGGCAGCCTGTTCCAGTGATTCACCACCCTCGTAGTAAAGAACTTCAAAAAACAGATGTCAGACTTCAGAGCTTGGGTAACAGTGAGAGGAAACAAGTCTTGGGGGGGAGAAAACCACTAGTTTGTATTAGGAAGGTGTATGATAGCTTGGACACCTCACATTTAAGTGTTCCATGCAAGTGGTTGATAGAAGGAGATGGATACTTTACAGTATTGCATGCTTGAAAACTGGCTGCTGGAGAAGGCAATTAGGAAGGAGCGGGCAGCGTTTCTTCTGCAAATGCTGAATGGTGCCCAAAGGAGAACCGGGGCCTTTGTTGATGAGTGTTTTTTGGCACAAACACAGGAATGAACCAGTTTGGGCAGATGAACATGCAGCTGTCGCCGATGGGACCCCGGCAAACCCCTCCTCTTCAGCACCCTGGACAGCTGAGCCAGGCCGGGGCCATGGGCCAGGTCAGTGCAGGGCTCTGGGCTCCTCAGCAGCAGACAAAAGGCATTGCTTAAAAACCAGGCATTGCTTCCTTCTCTCAACCTTTGTTCTGCCTACTTTTCTGTTCCCACTGTCTGGGCTAGGTAAGCCTTTAGATCTCGCTGGTAAAAATGGCCTAAAAATTAAGTTTAAGTGGCTTGTTGTGCTGTTGCAAAAATAAATCTTAACTGACAAGCTGCAATCTGAAATCAATATCCTGTTCTTTAGCTTACAAGGGAAATCATCATAATTTCTGTCTTTGGACAACAGCTGTAAGTGGGTTTTCCATGTTGTATCCTACAGATAAGTGGCAAACATCAATTTCTGAAACAAGATAAAAGGGGTTTGTTTTTTGTAAAATTTTCCAGAGGTGTACATACGTTGTGTGAAATGTTCCTTTCTTTGGCAGCAGATGGGATTTCCTTCACGTATGCAGCAGCCAGGAGTTGGCCAGCCCTCTGGTCAGAATCAGTTTCTACAACAGACCCAGTTCCCTGCTGCTTCCCCGGGAATGAACACAGCAAACATGCCCATGACCCAGCCTGGCAATCAGACACCAGTCTCTCAAGTAAGCTGCTGATTTCTGCAGGTGGTGTCCGTAAGCTCTGTAATATATACTGGTTTCATTGTGCTCTATGGAAAACAACTTGTTTTCTCAAGAAGCTTTTGGAGTTGTGGTCAGTCTCAGGCTTATGTTGAAGCGTGACAAAGGAATGTTTTAAAGTTTGTTTTTATGGAGCAAAGAAGAAACTGTTACTCAGCATGCAGTAGTTGAGAATTTCTTGCTGAATTTCTTGGTGAAGCAGCAGAGTCTGAGAAATTAATAGATGTTGGAATAATTTGCAGAAAGACCTGTCTATCCAGGACCTGTGTGTGTTGCTGGCAGTGGAGGATAGGAGAGTTATTGCTACTAAAGATCTGAACTTAGTCTAGCAGTTTTTTTTCTGTCCTTTCCCTTTCCCTTTTCAGCAAGAATCTCAGACCAGGAAGAAGTAGGGAATGTCAGTTTGCTTCTCGTTGATGCTTCTTCCTAGTTTGCAGACAAGATTATTGTGGAGTGACAGCATTTTTCCTTGCCCAGTACAGTTTTTCTGTAGTCTTGTAATGGTACAGCTACAGCTGTACTTATTTCTGGTGGTAAATTCAGTTTTTAGTCCTGGGGGTGGGGACATGGGGATGCTAAGTGTATCTGAATGCAATTTTTCACTGTGGTGCATTGTCCCATGCTCAGGACGTACAAATCTGCAGTTTTAGAAAGAGATGTTTTGTGAGCTGGGAGTGTAGGTGTGCCATTCATTAAATGTATCAGCCAGTGTAAGTTATTCTACTGAAACTTCTCTTTCAGAGCTGGATAAATTACAAAAAAGCTTTGTTTATGTGGAGCAAAATAAATCGAACAGACCACTTCTTTTGAAACAGAGTCCTTAAAAACAGATCAGATATTTTGTCATGTTTTTAAAAGTATGCCAGTAACTGTAGGAAAGCAGCCATTTGGCAGTGATTCCTCTCACTTTGATATCTCAAGTAACTGCAGACATGTACTTGTTACCCTACAGGCACAAATGACCAGCGCTTCCTGTCCTGTGAATTCTCCTGCCATGGCTCCAGGTTCTCAAGGGAGCCACATTCACTGCCCACCTCTTCCACAACCTCCCATGCACCGAAATTCTCCCTCTCCAGTACCCAGCCGAACCCCAACGCCTCACCACACCCCCCCAGGCTTGGGGTCACAGCAGCAGCAGGCAGCAGCTGCTGCCAGTGCTGCCCCCACACCTACTCCTCAGGCACTGCCACCTGGACCACAGTCACAAACTATGCACCCCCCTCAAAGGCAGACTCCGACACCTCCTCAGGCACAGCTGCCTCCACAAGTCCAGCCTCCAGTTCCAGTGACACCTTCTGCAGAGCAGCAGCAGCAGCCCTTGTCACAGCAGAGCACCACTGCCTCTGTCCCCACGCCGACGGCGCCGCTGCAGCCTCAGCACCCCACTACCCCTGTAAGAAAATACTGTGTGCTTTCCCTGCCCGTGCCCGTGAGGTTTCATGTTCACTTGGTCTTGGTTACTTATGCTAGTCTGTGATTATGGAAGTAGTTTCTGGCATATTTAATGTCAAAATGGCTTTTTTTCCCCTTTCAGAAGTAACCTTTTTAGCATCAAGACAAGTCTGTAGATAATCTGGTATTTCCAGAGAGGGACCTGTCTTCAGAATTCTAGTGCATCTTTTGAAATTTACTGTGAAACATAGATGAGGTATTTAGTTATGTCTACGTATGCATAGAGGTGGTGTATAAAACATGAAAACAGTTCATAATTTCCTCTATACCAGGCCTCCCAGCATGTGTTTTGTTGCATGTGGTTTTTTTAATAACTGGAGTTGAGCAGCAGTATGTTCTTCAGGTGAAGCAAGTAGAAGGATTAGATTGCACTTAAACTTTGTGGAAATGTACTATAGGTAAAAAGTAGATCAGAGAAAGTAAAAAAGTTGTAATGTCTGTTTGCAATGTGTATTTTATTCCCTCAGCTTTCCCAACCAGCTGTAAGCATCGATGGGCAGGTATCCAACCCCCCATCCACCAGCAGCACAGAGGTAAACTCCCAGCAGACTGTTCCAGAGCAGCAGCAGCCACCCTTGCAGGAAGTGAAAATGGATATTAAAACAGAAGAAGGGGAACCAGAACAGACAGAGATGCAAATGGAGGAGAAATCTGAGGTGAGATTGTTGGACAGTTGTTGGGTAAAATCTTTAACTAGTGCTGCTAGATGCTTTCTGTCTCCATGCAAGCCATTACTTCCAGTTTGAGAGCTGTAGGTGCTACATGGTGCTGCTGTTTTAATTGTTGTCTTCCTCTACTTCTTCCTAAAGAAGACCATTTATTCTGGTGAAATTGTAGTTGAAGGACCATGATAATGTGCTTGCAGCTGGGAGGCTTCTTGGTAAATGCCAATGTAAGAGTGCACTCAGGTCAGTCTAGGTGTTGTTGTCAGCTGTTAGATGTTTGAACAGCAGATATTAGGATGAGAAGAAATGGCCTCAAGCTGTATTGGGGAGATTTAGATTTGGTTTGGGGAAAATTTATTCACAGAAACGGTTTTCAAGCACTGGAACAGGCTTGATACACCACCCCTGGAAGTATTTGAAAGATGTGCAGACGTGGCACTTAGGGCCATGGCTTAGTGGTGGACTTGGCAGCATTAGTTTTATGGTTGGACTTGATGACCTTAAAGGTCTTTTCCAACCTAAATGGTTCTGTGTACATGCTGGTCTGCTTTACTGGGCTCTGACAACTTGTCATGAGGACAGCTAGAAGCTTGGCTGCCAGAATCATCATCTTGGCAGCCCCAGTGTATGAGAGTTGGACCTGCCTGAAGAGCTGGACGAGTACCTGTGTGTCTGCTTGTGGCTCAGAGCTGGTTAGCAGGGCGTCACTGCTACTGCTGCAGTGTCTAAAGATGCATTCTAGCCATCTGCTCAGATTTTGGGCTTTTGACTATGATGTAGATACCCTTAACCCTGAGGAAGAGCAGTGGGCAGGGTGGCAGATAGGTTAAGGACAAAAACGTGGATGGGTCACTTCACAGGAGACTAAGTGACAGGCTCCAAACTATTTTCCAGGTTAAAGCAGAACCAGTCGTAGAGGAATGTAAACCAGACCCCATGGAGCAAGAAGAGAAGAAACCTGAAGTGAAGACTGAAGTACCAGAAGGGGAAGAAAGACCCACCACTCCAGCTACTCAGTCTTCTCCAGCAGCTGGGCAGTCCAAGAAAAAGAGTAAGCACAGGAACACTGTTTTGACTGAAATTGACTGTATCTCCCTGGGGAAATCTTAGATGGGGGGCAAAAAAACCCTGAGCTTTCTTCGTTGGTACTGAGTAGGCTTATGTGGGTTGTTCTTTGTGGCTTTTGGACAAAAATACAGGTGCCTGTAACTGGCTTTGGGCAAGTTCTTTAAGGCTTTCATGTTAGACGTTAAGCTTTAGTAAAGTTGTTAATACAGCAGAGATTTGAAATGTTCCACAGTTACAGATTTTTCTAGACAAGTGTTTTCTTGGGACCTCAGAGGAACCATGTCTGGGATGTAAACTGCCTCTATTAAACTTAGCAGTGTCTCCCTGTGATCCAGCCAAGATTCTGTTTGCCATTTTGGCCATCTCCTTGTGTCCAGGTGGTCATTTTAACATCCTTCTCAGAACTCAGTGTTGCAGAGGAGATAAACCATGTTAAGTACCTTAAAACTCATCACCTGGAGTCTTCTTGACCCACAGACCTCACATTTCCCAGCAGGTGTCTTCTGTTCTCTTTCTAATGTTGATTGTTTCTCCAAGTTTTCAAGCCAGAAGAGCTACGACAGGCGCTTATGCCAACGCTGGAGGCACTTTACCGCCAGGATCCAGAGTCTCTGCCATTCCGACAGCCGGTGG